TTGAAATTCTGACGGCATTGCAGCATTTTTTGGCGTCCTATAAAGGAGCGTTTAGTTCCTCTGTTTAATTTATCAAGTAATTTTATACCTTTTTGAATGTGTATTATAAATTTATGTTGGTTTCATTAAAGTGTTCATTTAACCAGAAAAGTGTTGTTATATTGCGCTTTATTTAGTGGGCCCAGTACAGTGTTCTGTTCTGTTTGAGTGCGTGCAAAATATTTGTTTAATTTGGTATAATAAAAAAATATCCAAGGCTCGATCGACATAGAGATTTGTCGACCCGCAGAGGGCACTGTTGTCATTGGCAGATATTCCATGCTCCGCTCTTGTACATAGTTATACCACAATCCCTCTATGTCGTTATACCACGACTTGTACTTTTCAACAAGACAATCTGAGCATGCGTACTATTTTAAAGACTTGCAAACAAAACAGGAACTCGATCCGAGTATATCGCGCATTGACCTACTAAATGAAAGATTGAAATCTAGACCCGTATCATTCGTTATGAAGATAGCTCTGTTAGGGGCGACTGGGCGAACTGGTGTTCCACTTCTCCACCAAGCACTTGAACATGGACATGACGTCGTGGCCATTGTCCGAAATTCTTCTAAGTTAACAACAGAGCATGCACGTTTGCAGGTATGTCGGGCGTTCACGCCACGGTGATAGCCAGCATGCTTTCACGACTACGCCCACGTCATGTCAGGTCGGGTCGGTCTATTGAATGGCATTTGCAAGGCTATTCATGCGTAGTTTCTAAATTGCCGTCCCCAGAGTGGTAATTTTTACGATTTATGTTTCGTATGTACATTACAAGCGTCAACCATGTTAGTCAAGTTGGTCGTCAAAGGTTGTAAAATTTATGTATATATCGACGATAGTCCTGTCAGTCCTCACACTGCATACATAGTGTTAATGTTTACGATATTTAATATTTACATTGATGTGATAAAATACCATAGTCGATATAAATTAACACGATATAGTGACTCCGTAGTATTCTGGCATGAACTGTGTAATATTGGTGCACAGTAAGCGGGGTGTATTTGTTTTAATTCGGAAAAAGTTCACGGTCACATCCTCCAACCATTCCTAATTTTATCTCAGATATAAGATATGATTAAAACATACTTTGAATATTTTGTGACTATATTTAAATAATTTTACCCGACTGAATCTCGATACAACATTTAAGTGAGATTTTTCGTAAAATAGCAAATACTGAAGAAAAAACTCAGGCGCATGTCATACCTGCCGTGAATTTGGTGACGAGGTATTCAAAAATGTAACTGTATTTGATAATAGGAGAGTGAATGTTGTACACACGTATGCGTGCAGTATGCAAATCATTGATCTGAATATAACACTGGCACAATTACCGTAGCCGACTTAGTTAGCAGGTCACTGACCTTCACACAACGCTGCCGGGATATATACACCGGTGAATAGCACGCCAATTTGTGTTTTTTCCAAACATGTATATGAATTGCGACTCTTAATTTGGTCAAGAGATTTGTTTAGAATGCATATCGCCACGATTAGAGCTAAACACCGGTTAGCGTTATTTCACACTTTATACGCCGGCCAAGTGGTTAGCAGCCCGAGAAGCCAATCAGCGACCGCGTTGCAGTTCGTGATTTCTCGCACAGATGAGTCATGGTTGTTACTGGCCATAATTCACCACTGCAAATTTAAGATTAGCTGTCGAGAAAGTATCAGTTTGTTGTTAAAGCTATATTATTCGATATATTTTGTTTGTAGCATTTGGTGTATGAAGTAGTATGTGTTGTATGTTGTATGTGTTGGGTCAGAAATTGTTAGCAAACAACATTGTCGAGCATTTTTGTGAATTCGGCTGTGATGACATTTTCAGCAGCTTCGGGATCATCGAAAGCCAGTGTATTAGTAACTAACATCTGACAGTTGTTTCGGGCTACGGCATCACAACACCCTCTGTCCCGGAGTTCTACTGTGAATGATATGCACCATAGACTATATCGCAATTTCAAATTTTAGTGCATTGTGGGAAAATTAGATTAGGTTGCACGAGTGGGCGTGCTTTTTGATTAGCAGAGTTGTGTTCAATCACGGCTCGAACTATCCGGTAACACACTAAAATTTGGAATTGCCATATTATGATAATTCTTCATATCGCCGCCCCTTCCACGTGTTACACTGAACGGACATCAGTCTATTCGACGCATCAAGGAAATAAATACTCATCCAACACTGTTTTTTTCTCGGCAGGTCGTTGAGGGCGATATATTCTCCGAAGAATCCCTGACGTCCCTATTCGCGGGAGCAGATGCCGTTCTGTCATGTCTCGGTGTTGCGCACACACGGAAAACCACGATATATTCAGATTCTGGTAAAGCAATCGTGTCAGCTATGAGAAAAGCTGGCGTGTCACGTTTTGTCTGCATAACGTCGTGGTGCACAACATGTATGTAACAGTAACTAGCTGTACCTTGGAGAAGGGGGGACGAAGAAGAGTAGTGGGAGGTTGAATTTAGGAGAAAAATGGCCTATAACATCAGATCCCCCATGATGTCCGAATACGACCACAAATGAATGTTTTCGCCTGTTGCAAAAACATACACTGCAAATAGCATAGCCAATGCTTGTGAGCATTTATTGATTCGTTTATCTGTTCTACAATCGAGAATACTCGCAATCTATTGCCTCGCATTGCAGATACTTATTTTTATAATTTTCGCAAATCTCTTGTTTTTTTGTTTTTTTTTCAGATGATCGAAATGATCCCGGTCCGTGGGCTTGGGAATGGATCTATAAACCGTTTATTATCGGTAAGACGTTGGCAGACATGAGAGTAATGGAAGAGTTTTTATTGAGTTCAGAGTGCAACGATATTGACTACACCATTGTCAGACCTCCAGAGTTGTTGAAAACCTCATCTCAAGGTACGGTACATGGCGTTATGCACTCTCACTTGCAGATTTTTCGAGCTTATGACCTAACGAGCTACAGAGAGTCGCAACTAGTGGGGCGTTCCATGACGACTACATAGCTTAGAAATAAATGAGTCTCTGCGAAAGAGAATAGGCGTTACGGAGCTTATTGTTCGATATATGGGTCCCATGCGACGTATACAACTGCATGTTAAAACATTGTTTACGGATGTGGTGCTCTAATTACCCTATTGCCTCTATTATACGAATACTATTGTTTACGTCAAACATTTACACATGGTGAAGTGTGTGTACGGTATGCACACTTTTGTTCAATAATGTGTAAATGCCTATCAATCTTGAATGACAACGACTAGTTCATCTCACGCGATTGCGCCAGGGAGCCATTAATAGCAATTGCATAACATCTGTGTTTCATTTCCAGGAAAAGACATTCTTGAAGAAGAAAGACTGTTTGTTCGTGGAGGGAAGGGTGGTATTTCACGCGATGACGTGGCGAAGTTTATGTTATTAACGCTTACAACAGAGAGGTATAACAGAAAAGCAATCGCGATTGACAGCGCTAAATGACGTGTAACCATCCATAGTACACAAAATTACAGTAATGTACACCAGTGTTTCATAATTTTTCATGGTGTAATCACATTGGTTTATCATGATGTACGCAATAGTTCATAATATGTACACAGAATTCCATACTGTAATAGACATACATATAAACAGAACCTTGTGTGTAACAATCCCATATGTTGCCTAATATTTCGCATGCGTAATAATTTTTACATAGTATTTTATGTGTAACTACGTCAGAAACATAATTTTATGTGTAGCAATATGTGAGGTATACACTAAGTATGTATATTAACATCATTTATATACATTTTTAATTGTAACAATATCATGTGTCAGTTTTACAAACTTAATGTTTCACACTGTCATATATTCAACGTTTTATTATGTGTAACATCGTCATGTATACAGGATGTTATGTAAACACAACATAGTATGTGTAATGTGTAATGTTCATACAGTGTGTTACATTGTAACAGACTCTGGAGACATACGAATAGTTTTTTATAATAGTGAAGTGTACGCTATATTAAAGCAACGTGTGCAACGGCGACAACTTCTTGAATGCACACGAATGAAATGATCTTAAAAGAGTTGTTTCGATTTCGCGTATATCAAACAATCCTGTACTACACGATGACATATTTTTGTCGGCAACTTTATTCACAAAAAAACAAAACGTATCGGTATGAATGTAAAATATTATTCATCTATTTTTAATATTCATGTACCTAAATTTTATATTATCTCATCTGGGATTAATGTAATGTTTGTATTAAGCAGATTAATAAAACTGACATATATTTACTAGAAAGTGAATAAACTAGTATATTTATCTAAAAGGGTCATTTTTTACTTGTATTAAATCAATAAACACGACCTAGAACTAAAGTATATTGTCTCTTTACACAGAGCAGTAAATTTTGAAGACAGAAAGATTGCCACGCAGAATTATCCATAACATCCATGTATATCAACTACGATATCTGACGAAATGTGGATTGATACTACTACTTATCACCGTGACGTGGATGTGAAAACTTGTCTATGTATTATTATTTGAAGTTCGTTCCTTTCATTTTCATGAAAGATGTGTGATCTTAACCAACTGATGTGTATTATACTTGTAAAACACAAACGTGACCGCCACACCAATACAGGTGACACTGAATATAATGGTACGTGGTTGTTGAAACATCAAGGTCTAGTCCTGAATAAAAGGATTAGTTTTAAACACGAAAATGCACATTTCCCGTTTTGGCTTGAATACGCACCTTTACCGTGTCTCGGGACTTGACCCAGGCAATTTTTCCAGAGTGAATCATAAGGCGTGTACTTTATGTCTTTATCATCTTCGGGATACAATTTTGCATCACTACTATTTAGACCAAACAAAGGAAACTAGATAAAATTGTTTCGTTAAGTACGAAGTTAGTAACATCGAGTTACGAGCGCAAAGAGTTACGATAATAACTACGCCCATATTTTAGAAACCACGCCCACTTTTGCAAAACCAAGCCAATATTATACTTAGATGTTTAGTTAGCAGTTAACCAATCTTCGAGTTACGGGAAACATAAACTATTTAGTAGTAACTGTATTTAATAGTGGGTTTTAAAATATGCACCTAATTTGTAGCTCGATGTTTGTAACTCGACAAATTTAGCATCGCTTTCAAAGTAAATCGTTATGCTGTGTCATATAATTGATGACTGTGGCGAAAATACTACCACAATTCTCTATACCTGGCTTCCGGTATCCTATGCAACAAAACTTAAACATTCAATACAATGTTTAGTACTGTACATGTATGCTAACACAGAACATTTTTTTTGGAAAGAATAGTGAGTACTTCCAGCGTAATGCCGCCTCTTTAATAAACGTCCAGTGAACTACGTGTAAACGACAACTCCTTATTTTCAACCTCACTGGAAAGTCGAGTTGACCTCTGACCTCAATTATAAATTAAAAGTTATCAGCATAGCATGCAAAGAGCAAAAGAGAGCGGTTTTCTACACCTTGGACAGTTTATTTATTCAAATTTGTACTTTTTTTGGCCAAATTCAGTTCCAATTCAGCATGTAAGCTAACATGAAGGGAAGGTTTCCCTCATATATTCACTGAAAACCTGTTCAGCCATTTTTACTGTATCTATTAAATATTTCGGTGTATTCGTCTCACGTCAAGGAGGTTGCGGGGTCGCCCCCCCCCACGCCAATATCACTGTCGGTTTTATGTAATCCTCTACTCCACAGTGAATGATAAATAAACACATGCATTATTGCTGCAAGAAGAATTAGATTTTCGTGATATGATTGGTTACTTTTCCCGACGTCACCCGCGCCCCTCATTAAAACTTTACCTCCGATATCTGTATAATCTTGGCCTTTGTCCGTTATTCTGATAAAATAAATAAATATTATAAATAAATTAAAAAAACTGTTAGTTGTTGCGTAGTTAGAAGTTAGTCAGAACATAACGCGACTTTTTAAAAAAATGTGTTATAAAGTTCATATTCAAGTCTGTTTTGTTTTTTGTCCGACCCGTGTCCTGAACTATTTACATTGCTTAATAATACAAGGAAAATATGGGTTAGATGAACAGCGACAATGGAGACGTAAGAGTTGTTACCTTTTGATAAGTGCACACAATTGGCAGATCAACGCAATCAGGGGAGGGGGGGGGGGGGGGTTATTGGATAATTTACTAGTTGGACTTTTCTTATAAAGGTAAATACATAAATAAAAATTCCGATCGTCAGCATTCATTCAACAAACGCCCCCAACATTTTTTTCGAAGAAATTAAAAAATAGTATAGGATATGATTTCTATTTCAAATTTTATATTGGTACTTTGCAATGTTGAGAAAAAGTGGACGCGGGAGGTTTTGATTTATTTTCGCAACTGCATACACATCTTATCTATTTTTCAACGTCCCCTCCTACCTCTCCCCTCCCGGCTTCTGAGCACAGCTGGAAGTAACCAGGTGCGTAGGAGAGCACTTTCCGCCGGTTGACGTAAAATGTCTTGTTACTAGACCAGATAATTAACATAAATAAGGTCAAATGCTGACCTTGGTCGCCATTGCAAGAGACGGTTTCACGCACTAGTAATACACAATTGCCATGAAAATAGCCGTGCTCGGAGCGACTGGTCGCACTGGTATCCCATTTGTTCGACAAGCACTTGATCAGGGTCACCATGTTGTTGCCGTTGTCAGGAACCCCTCTAAACTTACCGTGCAACATGAAAATTTACAGGTATGTACTGTCGTGTCGATAAACAACATCACTGTCACTTTTTCAATGCCAGTTTCCTTTCTTCACAGTGTTTGTCATCTTTAGATCAAGCTTTTTAACTCAATCGCCAGGTATTAGAAGTACTATTTTCATAATTCAATCATTACACGCACATTTGCGCACGATAAAATAATCTGATCTCAATGCACATCAGGTCAATGACCTCTCCCAGGCATAATTCTGTTTAAGTTTGTGTTTTGATCGTTACAACCCCAGTTCATTGTAATTTACTCTGATGAGGTTATACATGACATGAATTGTTCGCAAACCAAGTATAAAGAGCGTGTCATTTTATGACAATATCGGGTAGACTGACAGTGTCGATAATTCATTTTAAAAATTTGCAAAAAACCTATCTTGGACGCAAAATTACTGTGGAATACTTTATTTTCGCTGGAATTAATTTTCGCTGAAAAGGCTTTTTGGGCGTTTTGTATGGAATTTATTTTCACTGATTTTTGATGAGTTTAATGTGAAATATAGGAAAAAAAGTATATTCGCTGGATTTTATTTTCACAGAATCTTCCCTTTAACGAAAATAAATTCCAAGTGAAAATAAAGTATTCTACTGTAATAGATTTTGCAGATTCATTTTTATTGGTAGAGAAATTCATCATAAAATATGCCACGGTTGGGTCTAGCGAGCTGGCTGAGAATTTAACAGCTGAGACAAATCTGTTTGTTATGCAACATATTTAAACCAAATCCATCAATAAATACCTGTGCTTTGACAAATGCTTGAAATGGTTGCTTTATACAGACATGATTCAAACTGGATTCAATTGTGCTGATTTTTTCCTTTCATAGTCTGCATATGATATTTGTGTCTTTAGTATTTATTCTGACATTCGCACTGTCTCGTATTACAGATAGATTCAAACTGGCGCCAGTCAGTTTAGAAACATATGAAAAAATATGACATAAATGCCCACGTACATGTATATGCATTTTAGCCTTAAAATGACTTTCATTTGGCCATTTTGTATCGGATCACGACTTAAATGCAAGTACATATGTTCAATTTGATGTTCGATGTACGCACATTTGAAGTATGGTATATCAAGATATGGCTCTGGAACAGCTAGCATTTGTTAAAACTGCATCCTTCATTACAAAATGGCCGACCCTTAAAATGTACCATGTTTATTTTTTCATATTTTAAAAAAATCAAGAATTACTAAAATTTACTCAATCCATGAATATTCACTATGTACTCTTTCTTTTGAACATACACCGATGACCAATGGCACCACGGTCGTCACACTGCGTCTTTTTAGTTATGGGTCCCATGTGATGTGTACAACATGTGTTAAATGCTTTTTTTATTTACATAGAATGTGCTGCACAATGACTGTAACTATTGGCATAAATTATTATTACGATAATAATTCTCTAATTTGCTAATAACATAATGACTATTCCACAGATAGTGACAGCAGATATATTCTCTGAAGAGTCCATGGTTCCACACTTCACTGGTTCGGATGCCGTAGTATCTTGCCTAGCTAGTCTCACGTTGAGTAAATCAACATTTTTTCTAGACTCGTGTAAGATAATTTTATCCGCAATGAGAAAAGCTGGTGTCTCCCGATTTATGCCGATGTCTTCCTGGTGCACTACTTGTAAGTCAAATACTAGTATAAATTCCCAAAAACATGCCCACAGTCGACGTGCTGCCTCGTTTTCAATCTCAAAACATATGCTTGATACATTGTTATCCCCCACAATAAGAATGTGTGCTGCACAATGGCTTCCAGATTTTAAAATGGCTTAACAATGTCCAGATGTTTGTTTTGAGAGTTTAACTTCATAAAATATTATTATTTAACTGTACAGTACAAGTTGTCATGTAATTTCTCAGTTGTGTCGTTCAGTGTAAAATATCACTGCTGATATGGCAGTGATGTGGTACATTATTCATGTTGCATGTCAGATTGAAAAAAACCCCAAATCATACTCGATGACTTAGATTAATTACATGAGAAGTTACACTAAATTTTCCATTGTTTATTTAACATGATCCATCAGGTTGTGTACACTACCAGATGCTAAATATTACTACCAAAATACTACTAAAATAATTCCTGAAACAGGTGATTTTTCATTCACTGCATAATCTCGCGAATTGCATGATAGGTACTGACCGAACGTCTGCCGCAAAAATCTAATCATATATTTTTGAACTTAAAATTTCTTTTTTTAGCTCTGCTGTCGACTTTGCCGAGCGGAGCTTAATCATGATGTATGAGTGATTGTCCGTCGTCCAGTGTTCATCATCTGTGGCAGTTTTTTACTTTCTTGACTTCTTCTTGAAATTTACAAATTCACTACGTTCAATTACCCGCCATGGACTCCGGTCAGTCAAAATGACTATTTTGAACTGTAGGCATTATATAATCAGCGATTCTGCCGGTTACGGAGGGATAGAATCTAGGTCATGGGAAGCCCCATGACCCCAAGGTTCTTTTCCCTTTCGTCACAAACCACGTGGCCGAGCCCATATGGCGGCACCATTACGGCTGGATATCCACTCTGCTTTTTCTCCGCCTCAAGTGGAGATGAAGTCTAGCGAGCTCTGCCTGGATCACTTGATTTTTCCTGTCCGGGTTTCTAGCTTGGGCTGTTGTCACTGGCGCGGCATCCGACATTGTAGCTGGTAGGATAAGTTTTCTTTGTCATTTTTACCCTCGTGTGTCGTTTTCCCCTTTGTGTGTAGCATTTTTCACAACAAAGCAATAAAACCTGGGCGTCGTAGCTTAATCACTTGTTGATTTCATTACGTCACCTTTTCCTACTGTAATTCGCTTTCTTCATGCATGTCGTCTTCATTGTATGCTTGATCTACGTATTTAGAATTGAATAGATGTATTGACAGCACCAGGACTTGCTGCCGTTTTTTTGGTCTCCTTGTTTTCGAGTCGACTGTGCAGTGGTTATATTCAGAATTTACCAGCATAGAACCTGCATCCAATATGCTTTTCGCCGTGTGCGGGGTTCAGGGTTTTTGCTTTGAAGGCGTGTGTTTTTCACTGGAGTTGTGAGGCCTGAGATATTTTTCCAGAGCCATCAAAATTGCTGAGACTGACTGCGTCGCTCGTATTTTCACAGCAAGGTCGCGCGTAAAAATCTGTTAAGGAGGCCCAACGGTGAAGGTACCAATATTTTTTCAGTCTCCCCCCCGCTGATCGGAGGGCATCCTCACAGTCTGTGTTTTCAGGCGGTGGTTTACCCAATTTTACCGGCTACAGCGAGGCTGTGCGCCTGGAGGTCTTTCCTCCTATGGGATCCTTTCTCGCACGGCACGGGGTTTTCCTCCGAGTTGGTTGAGGGCTTTGGTTGAAGGACTGTCAGGGCAAATTGCGTCCCTGGCAGGCCGGGTAGATCAGACTCAGTCGAAGCGAGCTGTCTCCACTGCGGCCCCCGGTGGAACAAACACGAAAGCATCGTTTGCATTCAAACACGTCTCTTCCGGGGAACCCCCTGTTCCCAGCTGCGGCTCTCCCACTGATTTGGGTGAGGCCGAGGCTCAGGTTAGTTGTACCGGGTCTCCTCTGGGGCCTTGGGCACTGAATGCCAACGGGGGTGCTGGCAGCCAAGACTCCGATCTCGGGGCAGGGCTTTTGGGGCAGGGCACACTTTGCATCCCCCTACTTTCAACCAGCCAGGGTTCGTCGCGCGGTAATGGTACGACAGTAACGAATTTATCCTTGTGTCCGGTCTCCGCTGTGGGTTTTTACTCCCTTCTCCACCGACCACCGGGCGTTCCCAGAGGGAACCTACCCTGACATGAGACGCACAGTTGACCACGCTCTCTCTCACCTATTTAAAGTGGAAAGCAGGCAGTTTGCTCACGTCAGATACAGCCGGTACCTCGGACAGCCCCTCAGAGTCTTCCATCTGTAACGACTCTGTGAGCCATGCCTTTGGGGTGATACAGAGTATCATCAATCCTAGTGATACGATGTAAATACTCCCACCCTTGATCATAAGGCGACCACTTACGGTTGCTTCAACGCTTATGGGATCCCGGGCATTGGGATCAAAAGCAACTTCGTCAGCACGTCTCTCCCTATCCGTCCGAGTGTGGAGTGGGGGGCAGGGCGCGCAAATGGTGTTGATGGACGTTGGTCAGCCGCGGAGAAGGTAACACTTAAGGTGCCCCCAGGTGGGGTAAAATCTTATGCAACACTTTACGTTGGACCAAACGCTACCCGGTCAGTGTGGTTTCTGGATCAGACCCCAAAGTGTGGGATGAGACCAAAACACCCCCAACCGGATCCCAACGCTTCTTCCCTAGACACGTGTGTTTTCGCCGTCAAACTGAGTCAGGGGGTACGTCTCCACCTCAGTGACGCAGACTGGACATCTTCCACACTCTTTGTTCGGGGAATGGTGGGTACAGTCTTGGAGCTTTGGAGTGCATTGAACCAGAGGGTTCAGATCGAATTCGCTAGCCAGTTGGCCCTGCCAAGGGTAAGCAGAGGGCACCCCAAGCACAGAAAACACAATGACCTAGGGCATCGTCCGCTAGCCAGCAAGCGCTCATACCCTTCCACAGGAGGGAAGAGTAGCGACACGCCCCCCAGGGAGGAAAGGGCCAGGTGGTGGCTCCTC